CTTTGTAAGTATTAAAAGCAGAGCTCAGTAAACTTTAACTAAAATTCAAGTGAACTACTCCTACAGGCTTAGTATGAAGGTGATACAAAGATTGTCTCAAAAGTCGTAAATTATGCTAACCTAAAAGATGATTTTTATCTAGTGATCTAGAGATTGTAATCTTAACAATAAAAAGAAACAAAAAGAAGAGTGACACAGAAGCTAATGCGCTCTCATGCGGAAATGCAAGACACACTCTGGGCCATTTAATGAAATCGTCCCTTATTCTCCGCAGGTTTTATAGGAAATTGTATGTTCTGTGTATTAATTAGAGCATTTAAGATGTTACAGTTACATGCAATTTGTAAACATTCTGTTTTTAAACACAGAAAATCCTAGGCAAGTACTCAGAATTATGTATTAAAAGCCTTTGGTATGTAATCATAGCATTTAACAATTGGCTCTCTAAAAGGCATCAATTTCACAGTTGAACAGAATTTCTGACATGGAATCATTTTTGTGAAATGCTATTAGAGAGCAAATCAGACACTAATCAAGTTACTTTCTAACAATATATAAATGTAACATACCCACTTCCCTCACCCTTTTTGGACCATGTGGGACTTCCTTGGGTCCATACAGACTTGCTGTGAGGAATCTCTGCACCTGTGTAGGACCCTTGGCTATCCCGCCTTCACTCTTCCATAGATCCCTGCCTCCTGCAGTTTTGTATGAGTCTGTGTTTACAGCTACCCCAGATTTAAGACATGTTATTTTTAAAAGTTTTTTTTTTAAAGATTTACTTATTTTTATTGCAAAGTCAGATATACAGAGAGGACAGAGAGAAAGATCTGTCTGATAATTTACTTCCCAAGTGACCGCAACGGCCAGTGCTGTGCCGATCCAAAGCCAGGAGCCAGGAACTTCCTCCAGGTTTCCCATGTGGGTGCAGGGTCCCAAGGCATTGGGCTGTCCTTGACTGCTTTCCCAGGCCACAAGCAGGGAGCTGGATGGGAAGTGGAACTGCTGAGATTAGAATCAGTACCCACATGGGATATTGCCTTATTCAAGGTGAGGACTTTAGCTGCTAGGCCACCATGCTGATTTAATAATCCCATTTAGATGTGACAAAAATGTGGGTTACTTGCGGTTATACCTCCCATGCGTACTTGTGTTACTGTAGTCACTATCATCATTCTCATGTTCACTAACTGGATTTTGTTTCCATCCATCTCTTCCTGATAACATTTGGCTCAAAGGAACTAAACTCCAGACAAAGAATCCTGTTCACTATCTCTATGGGTCTACCCTGTAGAAAAACCCAGGGAGCCACAAAGTTTTTGGTCCTTTTTCAGTTAGCATTTTGGGTACCCTTACGTATATAAACGCTAATACCCACATTTGGAAATGGACTCTCCATCATTCTAGGAAAATATCTATATGCTTGCTTTTTTATCTTTCCTCATCCTTACCACTCGATCGTCCTTTGAATGTTTTCACTGACATTCCTCTAAACAGTGTTATTTAGCCTCCTTAGGCACTGAACCAGTGCCTCCATGCTCATTCCCATGGATTTCTTTGTGTTAGACTCATCTAACATCAACTCTGCTCTAGCAACCCCGTGGTTTCCACTTTCCTTTCTGCAGATGTTCCTACCACTCGACAAGGAGCCCCTCTTCCACCCAGACTTCAGTGCTCAAGCTCCTGTCCAGTACTTGGTCCTGGGCGCAGTTCTGTCACTGTTGTTGTGGTTGTTTTCTTTTTCACAGATCTACATCATCTTTATGGTGAAAACTCATGTTTATCTCTGGGGGCCTGCATTTCAAATAAATACTATCTTCCATGTTCAAAGCTGAAATTTCAATACCTACCACCTTTCCCACCTCCTACCCCGGTTCCTCCTCTGAGCTTTCTCATTTCAGAGATTAGGCCCCAAACTCCAGTAAGTTCTTTTTTCTTTTTTTCCATCCTCTACTTCTTAAAGTCAACCAACTAAGTTTCAAATTCCACTCTTCCCCTCATCATTAACTTCCCATCCTTCCAGAGTACTTCAACTCTTTTAGTTGTTTTTGCAAGTGATTTGATTGCCCCATAATTCATTTCCCCATGCTGTTATCAAGATGTTATTCCATCACGCCTAAGATTCCAACCTCCTCATAGCCCCAGATCTTCCTCCTGTCATCCAGAGAACAGGCCCTTATCTTTGACTACCTGCACACTATCTGCACACACACAAGTCATTCAGTACCTTTGGTTACCCAAGTCACCAGTTTGCTGCTACATGGCCCTTGTACATGCTATTCCCCCAAAATATTTTCCATTATCCACTCCTTCTTTTCCACAATCTTGGAAAAGAGCTGCCCTGACTTCTGTGCCTTAAACAAGAGTCCTCTCTCAGGTTTCCTATCTTCACCCTACTTTTTTCCTACAATTACAATGTTTTTTTAAAAAAGTAGGTGGTTTTCTCATGACAATTTACTGTGTCTCACACACCACCATACCTATCCCCGGGGCACACACCAGTTCTATAAACACAGAACTTCTTTAAAGCAGCTGACGTGGCATAGGACAGGCAGGTTCTAGAGCAGGCTAGTAGCAGGGCAACTGTTACTGACAAACCATACTACCTACGGGGACTCACATTTGCCAAGTGTCCAGTAGCTACTGAGTATCATACCAGGTCCCAGGATCACATGAAAAACAAGCTGACATACTAGATGGACAAACCCAAGCACTAACACAGTACAATAAACTGGGCAAAATGAAAGTACCACACACACAAGAAGTACTGAATTTAGGCTGGGGGATGTGACAAGTACGGACTTACACTGAGAATATGGTGGGAGTAAGACTGCTTTGAGACTAAGAAATAACACCAATAAACACCCCGAAGAACAGCCCACTACCAGGCAGAACACTCAGGTTCAAGGGTTGTTCTGATGATACTGGCATGGGACAAGATGTTGAAGAAGCATAACAGTATAGGTCTCAGATGTGATGTCACTAGCACTTCAAGTTTTCCAAACAAGACATTTGCTCCACATAGCATTTTCCTTCTCTGCATCCTTAGTCTCCAACAGTGTTTCTTCTACATGAGCCTAGGCTAATCCAGGTTTCTCCTCTTATAATAAAAATACTGGCCTACTTAAGTCACCACTAAACATCTCATGAGTGCCCTGCAATTTAAGCAGTAATTAATTATTCCATAAATGCTAAAAAGATGGAGTTGGAAATCTCTTAAAATCCTCATGTAAATAAAATTTTCAAAATCATTTAAAATTAATCCCAATCCCTATCCAATCCATTAAAAGGATGCTATGCTTTTTTAGCAAAAATGCTAGGAAGAAGGCAAGTCCTCACCCCAACTTCCTTTCTGAGACCAGTCAGTCTAAGGGGTCGCCCAGTCCACCTTTTCCTCACCACCACACTCACGAATCTACTGCCCACCAGCAAAGGGTTTGGTCTGAGCCCCGATTCTCTGCTTCCTCACTTTCCACGCTAACTCAATCACAAGAGAAGATGAGGAGGATGTGGTTGTAAGCAACACAGACCACTCAAAATAGTTTCAAGGAGGGAATTTATTATAAAATTACAGGATTTCCAACAGCTGTGATGAATGAGTTTATAGCTAGCACACTTTTTGGAAGGGCAGGACATGCTACAATCACAAACTGCTAATTCTGGGTTCTGTACAGCAGTCAAGGGAGTCATCCCAGATAGTCCTCCTTGTAGCTTGCGGAAGGGACTAGAACGTGGATTCGGTTTTGCTTGCCTTTTGCTCCTTATAGTGCTGGATGCTGGCTTCAAACTTGTCAAGCACATGCTGGCAGACATTCATGAGCTCATTCAGCCCCCTCTGAAACGTCTCCACAGCCGGGAGGGCACCTCGAGTCTGAATGCGCAAATTAATTTTGTTCTCTGAAGGATGGGTCGTGGTGTAACCACAAAATTCCACTTCCGGGTTCTTCATGATCATGTACCGCAGAGAATTTCCCAGGGTATGGTCCTCCTCATGCAAAACAAAGGTCACACAGCATCTATCTGTCCCAGCCGCCTGGACCATTTCCAGGGCTGTCTTCCTCTCGCCTTCGGCCACTGAGGTCTTCAATCCAGGCATTTTTCTACACACACACATTTTTTTTTTTTGTATAAAAATGAGATCATACTGAACATTGTGTAACTTCTTTTCATTTACAACATCACAACTGCAACCCATTTACTCTCATCCACTCCAATTACCTACACAACCACCCACCTTTCCGTTTTCGATCTCCACGACTTCTAGCAATAAATAATATTATTAGCTCCAGTTCCTGCCTAGCTCATTTGCTCTTCACGCTGGCCACATGGAGCGTCTTCTCAGAAAAAAAAAAAATCAGAAAATTAAAGTGTTTGCCAAAACATTTTAGGGAGAGTCACAAGAAAAGGCTAGGAAAGGGTGGGCCCTGCTGAAAGAGGAAAAGGGAATTGAAGGCGGAGAAAATAAAAACAGACTTGCCCTAGTGTAAGAATAGATCAAGGCGACAGATTTATCCACGTGCAGCCCCACTTAGGCTTCCACTTGCAAGAGGTTAAGCAAGCTAGGAAACGGAAGAGACTTGAGAAGAGGCTCGGCAGGAGGTAGGGAAAAATAAAAATAAAACCTGGGCGCCTACAGGGAAGGGCTCCGAAGCTTTGGGCAGTCCGCGTGCAGGAGCCAGGAGCGCTCAGGCCCCAGCACTCGGGGAAGGCGACCGGACCCCGTGCCCTCATCCCGGGGCCGGGCGCTCCGGACACTTCACCCTGCTCTTCCCTCCTGGACAGCGTACCTCTCCGAACACAGCCACGGCTCCTCCCTCCTCTTCCCTGTCCCTCCTCCAGCCCACCGGGGTCGGGCCCTCCCAGTCGGCCGCCGACCGGGCCGCGGAGGTTAGGCCCCAGCCCCGGGCCGCGTGCCGGCCCGCACCCGCTTCCCCTCGGCCGGCCGCGGCCTACGCAGCCCGCCCCCGCGTCGCCGCCCGCTGCTCCTCCTCAACCGTTACCTCTCCAGCTCTTGGTCCTCCTCCATGGCGGGGGCGGGCTCCGGGATCCTCAGGTGTTGCCGGCGGATCGGAGGCTCTGACCCATAACGCGAACCGTGCGACCAGAAGCAGGAAGGAAGGAAGGAAGGAGGGACGGAAGGAGGGAGGAGGAGCCGCAGCGGCGCCGCAGGGCCCCGACGCTGGGCGGAGCCTTCCGCTGGGCGGGGCGCGAGTCCCGCCCCTGGCCCCGCCCCCGGCGCGAGGGGGCGGGGCCGCCTGCCCGGAGCCGCTCACCTGGCACCGCCCCAAGCCTGAAGAGGGTTCCGGGGGTCCCGCGTCCGTCCCCCCCGGGGGACAGCCAAGCCGGGGTGCGCCCCAGCTCCGCCCTTGGCCCCTTCCTTCAGGTGGTGGCGAGGGGGGACAGGGCCTTCTCTTCCCCTCATTCCCCAGTTTCCTTGCCTGTTAGGGACCCGAGTCCGGCCTCTCCGGGGAGGGGGACCTCATTGCTTCTGCTCTCCGGAACCCCCACCTCTCCTGGGACCACAGGCTGGGACTCTACACCGTCTGCTGGAAGGGGACTGCTGTGTGCAAGATACGAGGAGTTCTTCCTAAGAGAATACAGTGCTTTGGGGGGGTGGGCTGTCTGTCCTTAATAGGGTGCTTGCAGCGTCGCATCTCAGCCAGGATTCTAGAACACGCGTCTGTTTCATTTAGGGGCAAGAAGTTGGGGTGCAAAGTCTCGCCCACCGCATCCTCTCTCTCCCGGCAGCCTTTCGACCTGCGAAGCATGCCTGCTGCCCCGCGACGGACCTTTTCTTTCCTCCTGCTCCCTGGGCTCCTTAAACCCGCTCCCTTGCCCTCCCACGAACCTCCCCCTCGCTCACCTTTTGTTCCCAGGTGTCCCCGCCCTCGCGCTGGCAGCCTGCCTTCCCTTCCTCCCACCCCTCTCCGCTGGCTCAGCACCCCGCTCCTCTCTCTCCCTGCACCCCACCCCGGCCCCGGCCAGCCCCTCGTCCCCGGCCCTCTACCCCCAGCTGTCCTCGGGCTCGGCACACCTGCAGGTCTGCTCTCCTGCGCCACCTGTTCCCCCTCGGGCCCCGGCCTCCCCACTTGTGCGTTCCCTGCTCAGCTGTCGGGCTCTCCCCGCCGCTGCCCGGCGCTCGGGCGGACACTTGCCGGGCGTCTCGGCCATCAGGCGAGCGGCGGGGACAGCCCCGAGCGGGTGGGGAAGGGCGGCGGAGGCGCACGCTAACCGCCCCTCGGGCCCGCCCCTCGCGCTCCGCCATTGGCCAGCTCCGCCTCGGGCCCGCTCCGTCCCGCCCTCCGCCGCCGCCCATTGGCCCCGCTGCGTGTCGGGTTGGGCCTCCTCAGCCCGGCGCTCGCCCCCGGGAAGGCAAGCAGGAGCGGTTGAGAAGTGAAGTCTTGGCCAGAGTTTGCTTCTTGCCAGGAAATCCGCGGCGGCGGCGGCGGCGGTTCCCGGTGGTGGAGCGGCGCCCGGCCGACTCCCCGCTCCCGTACAGCGGGCCGCGGGAGCTGCGGCGCCACGAGCCCCGTGCACGCCGCGGGCAGCCGCGCTTCCCCAGTGAGTAACTTTGCCTGGCCCTGGCCGCCGCGTCCCCCTCTGCACCGGCTTCCCGGCAGCCGCCTCAGGTGCGGGCGGCGGCGGGGTGTGGGGCAGCGCCGCGCCCCGGGAGGCGGCCGGAGCGGCGCCGCCGTCCTCCCGGGCTCCCCGGGCTCCGCCGGGCTCCCCCGGGCAGCGGGGCCAGCGCGGAGTGCGGGCAGGAAGGGACGGGCGCCCCGTGCCCGCTGCCCCGGCTGAGCGCGTGGAAGGCGGGCGCCCCGGCTGTGGGCATTGGGTGGTGCCGGCCAACGCGGTGCGGATCTTTGCGCCGTTTGTTTCTTTCGGGGAGAGGAGAGGTGGGGATGCGTGCTTTTTCATTTCGCCCTGTGTGTGCAGTGGAGGGCGGGGTGGGGGAGCGGGATGAGTGTGGCTCCCCAGCTGCTTTCCGGTTGAGTGATGCCCCCTTGGAAAGGGATGGAGAGAGATCGGCCCCAGCCTGTTGCCCGTGAATCGTCACCTTTGCCTTTAGGCTGGAGAGCGGCTTGACATCTTCCTGGGGAGTCCTTTCCAAACACCGATCTTGGCTGGGAAGCATTGCACACACAGCAACGTTTAAACATTCGGGAAATACAGCCGTCGCTTTGCAAATCTGTGCCATGTTTTCGACAACTACTATGGGTATCTCGTATTTCAGGTTATAGGTCTGGATTTCGGGTTCTGCCTAGAGTTAAAGTACATTCATGCCTGGGCATCACGGTATAGATGTTTCTTTTTTCAGTCGCAAGAGTCAGTAGCAAAGCTGAAAGAAGGGCGGTGTTAGTGCCGGAGTAAGAAGTTGTGAGGTTCAGTTTACTGGAACTGGCCTCACTTTAAGAATTTCAATTCTTGTGGCAGTAGTACTTGCAAGCTGGCCTTCTTCCCAGGAAGGGTTTTGCTCTCTCTTGCACACACCATGACACAGCGCTGATGTAGATGAGTGTCAGTAGAACAGATTCATGTGCTTTGGTGGGTTTAGGTCCTATCCCCCCCACTCCTCTTTCCAAAAAGAACTTTAGCAGGTAAAGGGGGAGGGGGCAGGGATGGCTCTCATATCCTGTTGGGTCTGTCAAGAGCTTTGCTGAGCCAGGAATAACAAAATTCTGCCTTTTGAGCTTATTTGATTCTCACATGTGAGTTACCACATAGGGGTAAAATGTGGGCCGAGTGAGAGCTGCGGTAGGATAGGCCACTTTTCAGTGGGCCCACTAGAGTGTCCACGTTCTAAGTTCTCTTCATTGAGCCCCTGATGAAGTGCCTGCTGCTGCCAGGAGCTGCTAGGGGTTGCTTGCTTCCGACGTTGCTGGTGGCCTCATTTGGAAGCTGTTCTGGCCCACTACCTCTCCCAGCCATTTGAAGCGCGTGCTGTGGGAACGGAGAAGATAGAGCATGTCGGTCTGGAGTTTGTTAGGGGAGGCCCTCCAGGAGCACTGTACGCGTTGGTGTCGGATTTTAACATATACTGTAGGCCAAGGGACCGACAACCGTGCCACTTGCAAGTAACTGCACGCGTGTTCAGGAGGCTGCGTTCTGATAACTCCCAGCGGCTAGGCTGGCAGAAGGACCCAGTGTCTGGGGTTGAAGTAGGGCTGTGGAGTGGTGTGCTACTATGCAGAACACTTGGCATTGCGCCTTGCTTCCAGCAGGCACTCAAGTGCTTACTGAGTTAACTGCAACAGAAATAAAGAGGATTTTGTCTGGGAAATTAAGAAATGAGGACTTCTTTCAGTTATACAGTGCTGTCGATTTTAAGCAAGGGACTATGACGACGACTTTTGCATTCCAGAAAGCTGTCTTGAGGTGGGTGGGGTCCAGATGGGAGGGAGGGAGACAGTGTCAGAGGTGTTATAACCTAGGGGTTGAGTACTCGGGCAGTGTAGCCTCATTGTTCCTGAGATTCATTAGGCTATGGAGCTAAAATGGGAGAAAAAAAAATTGTGTATTGAACTAGTGCTTGGTGTGCAGTAAGGATTTAGTATATCCCAGTTGTTTGTGTGAAGGCAGTGGTGGGGGGCGATGTGTTTAGGAGGTGTGATGAGGAGACTGCTAGGTCAGGGACTGGGTAACATGAGAGAAGGGTGATGCCTCAGCCTTCTGACTTGAGGCGGCAGCTGTACAGGTTAAGATGGCACTGGAGTCGGAACAGGGGTCGCCCTCTCATTCTGTCACGGTCCTCTGAGTTTTGATTTCCTAAGATATCAGAGGTGATCATAGTACCTGTTTGTGAAGTGTTTGCTGATCACGCAAAATTACGCATGTAATGCCCTGGGTAGTCGAGCGTTTAATAAATATTAGTTGTTCTTTTAGAGCTGGCGACATCAGTGAGGGAGAGGTGTGGTGGAACCGGGAGCAGGGAGCAGTTCACATAGTTGATGGAGGAAAGAAGGTTGAGGCTTTCAGCTTCTGCCCAAGCCATGAGGTGCTGAGCTGGATGGGTGGAAAGCAGCCTTTGGATTCCGTGTGTCCAGCAAGAGCTGGGAAAGAATGAAAGAGGAAAAAAGAGTTCACCAAAGCCTCTGTGGGTGCAGTGAGCTTTATGGAAGATCGGGGGAGGAGGAAGGAAGGGGGATTTACTCTGTAGCGATGCCAGGACTGTGAACGTTTAAGATCCAGCATCTTAATGCATTTTAGCTACCAGCAAAGGAGCACTCAAGCTCTTATACCCTGGTTGGCACTCTTCCCTTCTCTACCTCCTCATCTCATTTCTGATTGCCCTCCAAAAAATCTGGATGCTTTTAAATATATTAAGTGGAAACATTTAACCTTTCTTCTTAATGTGCCACAATATTCTGTCCAAGCTGTTGGGGTGGGCAGTGGCATAGCAAGCTAATCCTCCATCTACAGCATCAACATCCCATATGGCTACCAGTTTCTGCTCTGACTGCTTTGCCTCGGATCTAGCTTTCTGTTTATGGCCTGGGGAAGCAGCAAAGGATGGCCTAAGTCCATGGGTCCCTGCACCCACTTGGGAGATCCAGAAGAACCTCCTGGCTCCCACTTTCTGACTGGCCCAGCAGATGGAAGATTTTCCATCTGTCCTCTCACTCTGTAATTATGGCTTTCAAATAAAATAAATAAATCTTTAAAAAAAGAAAAGAAAGAACCTATTAGGTTTCTCCAAGAATTAGCGACCCGGTCTCATAGATTCCACGCTATTTAGGAAGCTGTATTGGTTCCAAAAAAAAAAGAAAAAAGTCCGTATCTAGCCTGGAGGATTGTGGCTGTAGAGGACAGGCCTAGCTTGACCCCATGACAAGGCCTGGAGGGTTGTACCAGTCAAACTCCCTGGAGCATTCTTGTCTTGTTTCTTTCCCTCAGAAAGTCCTAAGCAATAGAAAGATCTGTGGCTAGGCAAGTTCCTTTGCTTGATTATTGGATTCTGGGGAAAAATGGGCAACTTTTATGTTAGTCTAATGAGCTGTTATTAGAGGACTTAAAAACAGACAAAAATAGCCTTGTATTTATTTGAAAGTTAGAGTTCCCGTGGTTGAGAGTGAGCGAGCGTGTGAGAGAGAGATGGAGGTATTTCATCTGCTGCTTCACTCCCCAGCCGGCCCCAGTGGCTAGGGCTGAGCCTGGCTAAAGCCTGGAGCTTTCTCAGGGTCTCCCACGTGGATGGCAAGGATCCGAGAACTTGGCTACTTTCCCTAAATTACCAATAGGAAGCTGGGGTGACGTGGAGCAGCCAGGACGCAAATTGGCACCTATGTGGGATCCTGGCACTGCAGGCAGCAACAGGTTTTACTTGCTATAACACAACAGCGGCCCCTATTCAGAAGTTCTAAAGCCTCCATTTTTCCCATCTGTTATAATGCTTTTGAAATATATCGAATTAATGTTATTATTTGAAAGAGAGAGAAATCCCACCTGCTGGTTCATTCCTGAAATGCTCGCATCAGCTGGGGCTGTTCCAGGCTGGAGTGCCATCAGAGTCTCCCACGTAGCTGGTGGGGTCCAGATGCTTGGGCCATGTCCTGCTGCCTTCCCAGGTACAGTAGCAAGGAGCTGGTTTGGCAGTGGGGCAGCTAAGACTAGAACCAGGATTCCTGTGGGATGCTTAACCCGTTGCACCCCAATGCTGACCCCTGAGAATTTTGGTTTTAAAAAGCAAATACTTACGGTGTATATCACTGTAATAAATAGTCCTCTAGTTCTTTAGGATGCTTTAAAAGAAGCAGGTGCTGTAGGTTCTGTTCTTTAGCAAATATGCTTCCTAGAGCAGGGATTCTGTTTCACTCACTACAAAATTGCCAAGGAGGTAGAACAGTGGGGATATATATATATACACATATATATATTCATATATATTCATATATATATGAATGAATTGGATCCATTTGATCTATATTGACTCACAGACGTCTCCAATCTCAGGTAGGAGGGAAAAGAGAATTGATTCAGCCAGGAAAGTTGGAGTGCTTCATGTATTTATTGGCGGACACAGGCGCTGTAACAGAATTGATGGCTATTATGATTCAACTGTTTTAGTGCCAAATGCTGTAATTACTTGCATAATTCCCTCCTTTTTATTGCTTGTGGAGTGTGGTAAGGAGGAAGAGCCTTATATAGGGAAATGGCTTTGTTCCTAGGTAAACTGACAACAGCTGCGTCGTAAGTTTGACTTCTCTAGGGTATTAGCGAAAGGCCAGGCCAGAGGCTTGTTCAAGGAAAACTGGAAAGAGGAGTGGTGGTGCTGTGCACAGTGGTTCACCGTGCATCTTCCCAGCCAGGAGGTTTGGAGCCACTCTGACTGTAACTCAGTAAGTGTGTAGAGGGAAAAGGGTTTTTTTTCTTTTAAGATTTTATTTTTAATATTGGAAAGGTAGAGAGAAGGAGAGACAGGGAGAGAGGTCTTCCATCCACTAATTCACACTCCAGTTGTCCACAATGGCCAGAGCTGAGCTGATCTGAAGTCAGGAACTTCTTCTGGGTCTCCCATGTGCACGATCCCAAGGCTTTAGGCCATCCTCTACTGCCCATCCTGG